CACAGACTTAGGACACAGGTAGGTTCTAAGTGCTGGAGCAGTCAGAGAGGGCTTCCTGGAGGAAGTGTCAGCTAAGCTGAGTCATAAGCAATGAATGGAAGTTAATCAAGAGCAGAGGTGGAGAATGACAGGACGAGCATTCTGGACAAGAGGAACAGAAGGTGCAAAGAGTTGAAGGTAAGAGATAAATAGGAGATCAACAACCTCATCTCTTTGCTTAAAATCTTTTAGGGGATTTTCTGTGTCCTTACAGTTTGGTTCAAGTTCTTGAGCCTGTTCCCTGGGGCAGCTCACTCCCAAGAGGAAGAAGGGGGGCGAACTGAACTATGCATATCCGGTGTTTCCCTCTAATTCACCAAGCGGGAGGTTCTCCCACAGCCTTCCCTCACCCCATGCGCAGAGAGGTGAGGTGAGGGCTTAGGAAAGCCCCTCTTCCTAGAAATCCCTTCCAACCAGCCTCCCCCCTGCCATCATCGCTTGGGCTCCCCATCTCCTGTGGGGGTTGGCTTGAACAAGGCACCACACACCCTCCCACACAACCCCTCGGGGGGGCAGTGGGGCCCAGCCCCAGCTGAGGCAGAACCCGAACAGAGTCAGCTCCACTCATAACGAAGGTGGCTGTTAGAATTTGGTGAATCGCTGTGGCTCATGCTTGGTCCATTCCAGACAAGGATGCTTGTCCTACCTTTGCACAGACATCATTATCATCATTATTTTCATTAGTACGATTGCTCTTAGCATTTGGTGGCCGTCCGCTACCAGGACGCCATCTGTAGGGAAACCCAGTCTCTTATAGTTTTGAAACAACAGCTTCCTCTCGCTCTCTCCTTCCCTTTCTCCCCACCTTCCTTCCTCCCTCTCCTTTTTTGTAATAAGGAAAATTTCCAAATCTGCAGGAGAGCAGAGAGAAAAACTTAATGAGTTCCCAGGCACCTACCAATCATCTGTAACAATGATCACAATCGTGGGCCCCATTTATCTACCCTTCGCACGGCTTTGTTTTTTACGCCCCATGCTGGGATATTTTATAGCAAATCTCAGACATCAAATTATTTCATCTGTAAATGGTTCAGTATAACAGATGAATTCTTTTTTTTTTTTAATTTTAATCTTTATTTATTTGAGAGAGAGAGAGAGAGAGACAGAGTGAGAGCAGGGGAGGAACAGAGAGAGAGGGAGACACAGAATCCGAAGCAGGCTCCAGGCTCCAAGCTGTCAGCACAGAGCCCGAAGCAGAGCCCGAACCCACAAACCGTGAGATCATGATCTGAGCCGAAGTCAGGCGCCTAACCGACTGAGCCACCCAGGAGCCCCAACAGATGAATTCTTTAAAGGGTATAACCATGCTACCATCATCACTCCTAAAAATTAAAAATAATTTCTCAATATCCTCAAATACACAGAGAGCTTTCAAATTTCTCCGACGGACTACAAAGAAATCTTTTTACAATTGCTTTTGTCTCAATAGGTGCACACATCACATCTGTTTGACACGTTTCTTTTTTTTTTTTTTTTTAATTTTTTCAACATTTATTTATTTTTGGGACAGAGAGAGACAGAGCATGAACGGGCGAGGGGCAGAGAGAGAGGGAGACACAGAATCGGAAACAGGCTCCAGGCTCTGAGCCATCAGCCCAGAGCCCGACGCGGGGCTTGAACTCACGGACCGTGAGATCGTGACCTGGCTGAAGTCGGACGCCCAACCGACTGCGCCACCCAGGCGCCCCTTGACACGTTTCTAAGCTTCACTTCATCTTGGGTGATTCCTGTCTCTCATTCTTTCACTCTTATTCTCGTCAGTTTCTTATTAAAAAGAAGCCGGGTCATTTTATCTTCTAGATTTTTCCATGTTCTGGATCTGATGGATTGTATCCTAACATATTCCTTTATCCTCCATATTTCCTATAAAGTGGGAATTAGATCTCGAGGTTTGATCAGGTTCACATTCGATATTTTGGCAAGATGAAATGACATCCCCTTTCAGTTCTGCCCATCGAGGTTTTGCACAGTGCACAGCATTACGCTGGTTAGTGCTCTCGAGAGAAGGGCGAATTGGGTGGCTGCTGCTGTATTTATGGCGGGGGTGAGTTTGTGCGAGCACAGGCTACGGGTTATACCAGGCTGGTAATGAAGGGCGAGGCCAGGGCTGGTGGGCCTGCCTGCACAAAACGAACATGCGTTTCCCTCCACGTGTGTCTTCTCACTGGGCGTGTCTGCTCATGACCTCCTGCAGACTGACCGCACTGGGGGGACAGAGGCAGAGGCGAGGCTGAGAACCTGGCATATACATCTCCAGGGATAATCAGGCCTTTGCACTAGGACACTGACTGAAGATCTTGCTGATGAAACGAAAGTTGGTGCAGAGACACGGGTGCCCGTGTCCATCACCATTTGAACATTTTCCTTGGTCCGAGCCTGAGTTCCTCCCAAATGTGGATCCTGAGCGTGAGCTTGTGCGCACGTAGTCTGTTTAGGAAAGTGATCCTAAGGGTCTGGAGTGGGGAGGTGATAAGACTAAAATGGGAAGAAGGAAAAGCCAAAGCAAGTGAGGAACTGGGCTGATTGGTGCTATGGGCCGTCCAGCTCAATCTTACTCCTAAGGATCCCCCTGGGAGAACCAGGTAGGGTGCATTTTGGAATTTTCTGCCCAAGGTATGAGAATAAGAGTGGTTTATCCACTGGCTGTGGTCTTCCATTCATGAAGGGTCAATACAAGGAAGGGGTGTTAACACGCATCTTCGAGGTTGCACGTGCACCAGAATGGCTAAGTCCTCAAACACGCCCCCTAGAGGAGGACATACAGAAAAGGAGAGTTCCACGGGTCAGCTGGGGCAAAGCGCTGTCCAGATGCACCTGTGGGCTTGCTGCTGTTGGCTACAGCGATGTCACGAGTGAAAAGGCGGGCCAACGCAATATGGTGGGTGTGTTGGGGAACCCCAAGGCCACCCGCAGGTTGGATGACTCATCGGAAGGACTCAGAAAAGGCGTTGCAGTGGCAGGTATGGGTTACGACAGCGATCACAGATTAAACCAGCAGAGACAAAGGCACCGAGAGCAGACACCAGGAGGGAGTTTCCAGTTCTCCTTTCCCAGTCGAGTTCCACGGACACTTTAATTCTCCCAGCCACGTGTGGTGGGGAACAATGCACATGCCCGCTGGCGAACCAGGGAAGCTCATCTGAGCCTCCGTGTCCAGGGTGTTATGGGGCCGACGCACCCGCAGGTCTGACGTTCACCGCACACTCCCCAGCCCCCTGTGCGAACTGGATTCTGGTGGCTGTCAGACCTTCGCAGCCATCGTTCAGGTTTTAGAGTATTTTCCTGCGAGGCTTCAGGGTGGACGCAAAGTCCGAAGGGAGACAACCACGCTGCTTGCCAGGACTGCCACCGGGCTGCAGGAGCCGCCCGCCCCCCCAGAGATTTCCCTTCTCCTCTGTCGCCCTTCATCTGGCTTCAAACGTGCCCGGATCGGGAACCAGGACGCATAGTCACCCCCCACCCCCCTTTCCTTTCTCTCTCTCTTCTCCAGTGCTATGCTATGCGATGGCTATGCTTGCATTTTCTCCCCCAAATGCCTCCCCACATTTCTCCTCTCCGTTTTCAGGGGCAGGCCCTTCGGGTACCCTCTAACCGGATCTCTCTTTTTCCTCAAACCCTCCTTGCTGGGGTCCCCGGGGGATTTGCAAACAGACCAAAGCATGGTTCTGTCTCAAAAGTTGCAGTGGCTTCCTACCGCTACCCAGCTAACTTCAGGTTCTTCAGAGAGCCTTCTAGGTCCTCAGCGATCTGGTCTTAATCAATTTCCGTAGGCTTAGACTCACTTCCCTCCCAAGCTTCAGTGAGAACAACTTTCCCTGTGCCTGAGACCCATGCTTCATGTTGGCCACTCTACCTTCCCGGGCATCCGTTTTCTTCCAAGCCTGTTCAAAGAGGGGGGGGGGGTCTCCCTGGTGGCTCAGTGTCAAACTAGGTTTCCTCCTGTGTGTCCCTGGAGAGTGTTGTCCTGTTTGTACTGAATTTGGACTTTAAAAGGAAAAACACACTTGCTTGTGTGGTTATTCTTCTCACCAGAGGACCGTGTATGGTGGGCAGGTGTTTTCAGAGCACAGAGCAGAGTTTGGGGTTAGCTCTGGCTGTGACACTGGGCTTTGCCACCTGAGCTCTCTGTGACCTTCCTCGGGTGCCTTGCCCTCTTGCAGGCTGTAGCGTCCTTCCTGGGAAGTGGGGAGAATGACCCGTGTTACAAGGATTCATATCTGTATTTACATGCCCACCCTTCACTAGACCATGGGCTCTTCAGGAGAGAGACTGGGACCATTGAAACTCTAGGAACTTGTTCATTCCCACACGAGCTGCCGTGCTTACAAATGGCAGGCAGAAAGGGAAATGGAGAATTGGATTAATCCATTGTGGGGCCATGGCATCTGGCTGCATTGTTCTGCCACGGCTAGCAGTGGGTGCCACACGGTCTGGCACATTGTTGCCCACTTCTGCAATAACCTCTCTGCAATAACCTGTGCGTCCAGGTCCCTGCGGCAAGGGCACAGTGGTTTCACGATGTAGGCGACTCACTCTCTCCAACTCGGGGCTCCCTGGAGGACGTTCTCCCTTGGAACCACGTTGCCCCAGCATTCCGTCACGCTGTACCTTCCTTTAGCTCTCTGGGTGGCCTTTCCTGCCAGGAGATCCCTCTGCAACCACCCCAGTTTATCAGAGAAGTTCCAATGACGTGGAGTCTCTAAAGGAAATGCGTGGGAATTTCTGGTCCCTTTCCTTCACGAGGCCCCTTTGTTTCTGTGGCATCGCATACTTTTTCTCCCAGCCTGTCTGCAGAGAGGGGCAACCTTTGTGAGGTCACGAGGCAGTGCTGGGACATCAGTCCTCCAGGGACACTTTGCATTACAAAGAACAAAGACCATTTGCTTCAGACCATCAGGCTGGTTCTGATGCCACCTGGACCACAAAGCAAGGCAACTGTTCAAAAGATATCCTCTCTCTCATCCTCTCTCTCTCTGTCTCGCTCTCTTCAAGATCTACAGCTGGACTTCTCAAATGTTAAAATGTCTGGAAATTACCTGGGAATCATGTTAAAATGCAGATTCTGACCCGGGAGGTCTGTGCGGGGGCCCTGAGATCTTGCATTTCTGACGAGCTCCTGGATGACACTTTTGCCACATATCCTTGGGCCAAGCTTTGGAAACCAGAGTCTGGCTACCCAGCCAGGCATCTGGCCAAATCTGTGTCCTCAATACTTAGTATTTGTTGCCAGGTAAACAGTGGGTAGCGGGTAAAGTGTCGCTGGATGGATTAAAGAATTAATTTCTCCTAATTATAATGTTGACAATCAAAGCCAGTGTTTGAGCTCTTAGTATCTGTCAGGCGCTGTGACTTATATTAAATCTAACTAGCGCCGTGAGAAGGACTTCTAATCATTTCTCCATTTGGCAGGCGGGAAACCCAAGCCCCAGAGAGGCTGAGTGACTGTGGTGAGGGTGAAGCCGGCATGTGGACCCCAAGTCTGGGCCTTGAACATCTGTGGTATCCAGAGTGTCATAGGAAGGGGAATGGGGTACCGAGTTGCAAAGGAGCATTTTCGAGTGCATTGTGGGTGCTCGGTCATTTCTCTTATGTCACTGATGTCCTGCATCCACCTTGATGTCAACGATATAGCTCCCTAAGTAGAAAGGGTTACTGTTCTGTGCTAGGACATAGATTTCCAAGTGATCAGGAGGGGACAATCCTGGGGACCCGGGACTCTCAGTGGGGTGCTCGCAGGAACGTGGCTGAAGTGTGTGGCTGCATATGACATCGAGGGCGAGCCCACAAACTTCACCAGACTCTCGAGGGCATGCGACCTCAGAAGAGCCAGGAACGACTGCTTTAGACAATCAGAACTGTCTCTATCAAGGGTTCTCCTGCTGGACAGAATTAATTCTTCAGAATTGCCAGGGAGAGGAAATAAGCTTGAACAAGTGGCAGGAGCTTGCTAAGACTTGGCCTGGTTTTGGACTGTTGAGTCCCTGGGCACTGTGGCCCCTCTCTTCCCATCTCCATTAGATCCTGCTGGGACCTTTGTGTGGCATCTCTTCTCCCCACGGGGCAGGAGCCACGTCCTATCCATCGTCAATTGGAGGAAGTGTGCCTCTGTGTCTGGCACAGAGCAGGACTCTGAAATGCTAGTGGAGTTGGTAGGTCTGGGTAGCAGGGGCTAGAATTCTCTAGAATTCATTTCCCCAGCCAGTGAAGGCGGTCTCCTCTGCCGGGGGAGCGGGAGAACCCGGAGGGACCAGGAGCGGAAGCTGTCGTCTTTTAGTTGGCCACGAGGCGGCGCTATTGGTCTGCACTCGGGTCCCGGCCATTGTCTCCGCCGGCTCTGCGACAACGCATTATTCAAGAGGGTGATCGCTACCAAAGGCTAGACTCACGACGTATCATGTCACACAAATGGCCGATAATGAATGGGACGGGGCAGCCGATTAGCTGCATCCCAGCCCCCTCGGACCTGCTTTTGCGTGGACGGTACCTGCAGGACCGACCCCGCCTCGCCTACGCTCTGAAGGAGTCGCAGATCCTCGTGAAAACCCACAGGTTGCTGCCAACTCTTTCCCAGGGCGACGCCTTCCTCGCTCCATATGCGCATCAAGAGGCGGACGGAAAACGATCCCTCTCGCGCAGGCCGCACCAATTTCCAGCCTCACTTTTAGCTGGGCAACCGTCGATTGTGCCCTGGAGGGGTGTGCGGGGAGGTTTCGGCGAATTGGGCAGCGGCAGCCGCAGCAGCAGCGGGAGGCAAGGCCCAGGCGGGCTCGGCGGCGGGAAGAGGGGAAAGTCGCCTCCTCCGTGCGGTCTTGCGTCCCGCCGGACCTGCGTCCCCCCCTCCCGCGGGCCCCAGTCCAAGCTCCCGCCTCTAGGCGGCAGCACCGCAGCACGGAAGGCGCTCCAGAGCCCGGCCCAGGCCCGCGGGGTTGCAGCTAGTGCTGCTTTTGCCTGCGACCTCTGTGAGCACACCGGTGTGATTTGGGGCACGTGGCCTCCTGTCCTAGGCCCGGCCTCTGTTTTCCCCTCTGTAAAATGGGGACGTTAGCACCTGCTGCACCAGGTATGTGAAGGCTCTTCAGACACTCTGACAAGCACGCTCAGGGGGAGGCACTTGGAGCATTAGGGGAAACCCAGGGCCTGGGTCTTAAGGTGCCGCGCGGGCAAATCTCTTAACCTCTCCGGGACTGAAGTGGCCGGTCCGCAGAAGATGAGGTTGGAGCGGGTGACGTTGGAGGTTTTTTTCCATCCTGCACCTCAACCTGTGATAAAACACAGCTATCCCGCGTACTACGCCTTCGAAGCCTCGATCTGGCAAACGATCAGAAATGATGCGAGCAAATGCATGAGCGGGCAGGTAGGGTGATCTGGATTATTCATCTCGCTTAGTTCATCTTTTCCCAGGGGGTGAAGGGTCCACGATACTTTCTTCTCCTGGCCTTCTGGTCTTACTATATATAAGCAGTCTCAGAGATCACCTCCCGCATCCCTCCGGAGCCTTCTGTAGCATCCCCAGGCAATGTCAAATCTTTCTGACTCTGCCCGGGCTCATTGCACCTGAGAACACAAAAACGATACTGTTCTTGTGCTGGTCTTGGAATTGAGTCTATTTCCCCCTCCCCCAGTCTTCTTGGTCTATGTTAAGGTAAAATGGACTCTTTGTCGTGGTTGTGTGCACGTGCCTGTCTCACGCTCTCTCTGCAAAGCAGGTGTCTGTAAGTTCTGCACTCTAGGCGGCTAACACAGTGCCTGGCCGGTGGTGATCAGCTGAAGAGACTCTCAGGTGAATGAATGAAGAGAGTAGGTGGGAGATGGAATGGGTAAATGAATGAATGGGGGAGGCATCTCTCATAACAGGGTTTCCCACTCTGTGGCAGTGTCATGGGTAAGGACGGATTTGGAGGAATCGTATCATACATTGGGCTGCCTTCTCTATAACACGGATGAAAGTAATCCTTTCTATGCTGCCCGAACAATGGATGCCAAGGTCATACGTCTGCAATCCCAAACTCGGTCTTTTTTTTTTTTTTTTTTTGTATTGTGTGTGTTCAAGTATAGACTTCATGTTCCCTTTTATTTTCCTTGAAGGTTAAACTCTTGCTTTTTTTCATCTATAAAGATGTTTTAAAACCCCATCTTCAAGCTTTAAAGATTTTTCTCCCAGCAGCTAGCTATAGGTATATAAAATCCACCCACCTTACAAATGAAAATGATTGATACACATCAAAAAAGTTATCTGCATCAGATAATAAAACCCAGCTTAAGTCTCTCTTGAAATGCTCACGCTAGGAATTTAACTGAAGAGACAGGTTCCCTACCGACTCAGCGGTGGGGACTTTAGGAGTGGGGAGGGTTCTAGGTGGAAAGGGAAACTCACATTTATGCGGGAGACATCCTAAGCCCTTTATATAAGAGACATCATTTAATCCTCCCACTACAAGGAAGTTAGCACCAGCCCGAGTTTTGCAGGGGAGGGAATTCAAAGCTCTGGTGTGTTAAGCAACTTGTCCAAAGCCGCACAGGCCAGTTGGTGGTACTCGCTCCCAATTAGGTTTCTGAACACGCAGACCGCCCCTCCACCCCACCCCAAACACACGCACTATGATCCCACCATCGTGGGACTCCGCGAAAAGAGACACTGGTAGGAAAATATGTAGAAATTAAGTACATCTTGTGGCCGCAGACCGCTTCTGGTCCCTCCTTGCCCGAGGCCGGGTCCTAGTGCACCCATGTCAGCCGCAGAGGTTCAGAGCGAGGACTGGGAAGTCAGGCAGATGTGGGCTCAAATCTCAACTCCTCCACTAATCAGTTGTACAGCTTTGCACAAACTACTTAAACTAATTCTTGGTCTCTTTGTGAAATGGGGATCATGGTGTTGCCTACTTTATAGGGTTGTTTCAAAGGTTAAGAGACATAATGAAAATAAAGTATTTAGAAGTGTACCTGGGCACAGTAGATACTAGTAAATGTTAACAGGACATGTTACTAAGGCGTGAACGGTGCTTTGACTTTTCACCCTTGGCTCTGTAGTGGACCACTCTCAGCCTCACCCGTAGCCCAAGAGAAAGTCCTCCCTTTCCTCAGGACACTTAAGTTTGGTCTTTTAGAAATGGTCTTAATAAGTATTTAAATCTGTGATGACTATTAGTATGAATGGCACCTCCTATAGTAACACAGTGCACAACGTGTACAACAGTGCCCCGTGGCCCTGGATCTCTTTGGAAAAGAAAGAGAAGCACTTTTTTTTTTTTTTTCTCCCTAAGAGGAAGAGGAAGACTTCATGCCTCTCAGGGATGGACCGCCCTTGCCCCAGTGGGAAACTGACCGGCAGATGAAGGCTCAGTCCTTTCCTAGTGGGCATGGGGGTGGAGGCTGATTTCACAGAGGGGAAAGGGGCAGGAGCAGGATCTCAGAGAAAGATAACTGAAATTCCTGAGCCACCAAGAAGAGGAGGTGTGGGGGTTACCCAGGCAGTTGAACCTTGAGCTGGGAAGCAGTGGGAGGGTGCTGGGCCGACTGCACCTCCGGTTTCACTGTGTCCTCACTGTGGCCCATTTCTCCATGGGGAAGAGCTTCACTGTGCGGAAGCAGCGGTGGGTGCCGACAAAGCCCATCTGCTCCAATGGACCACACGGGGCTTGACAGAGAGGACCAGGAGTGGCCGCCATGGTGCTTGGGAGACCAGAGACCCTTCCATGTTTCGACTGTAAAACCCTCCGATAAATTGCATTACGGTGTATCAGTTAAGAATGAGGGGTTCAGAGGCACACGTCTCTCTCCATCACTGCCTAGTTGTAAGATCTTGGGCGAGTTCCTCAGTTTCCCCGTCAATAACATGAAGATGCTAACAATACCTAACCCAGTATGTTGCGGAGGCCGGATGAATTAATGCCCATAAAGTGCCTAGAACGGCATCTGGCGTGCAGTGAGTGCTCGGTAAAATGTGACCTGTTATCATTTTAGAGTTTCAAGAGAGATGGGAGGCTCCGCAAATCTCAAAGTGGGGTTTATTGCTGATCGTGGCTGACAAGGCTGAGGTGGACTTCATCGGATTTAGCAACATAGGGAAATGGGACGTTCCTTGTAAAAAATAAGATAAAATAAAACAAAAGGGAAACATGACATTTCTTGGACCAGAGAGTTAGCGAAGCAATTCACTTGCGTTGCGGGTCTCGTCGCTGTTGTTGGCGTGGGTGGCGCTTCTGCAGGCCCGGGACCACGGCCGGTCCTTGCTCAGTCGCTGTTGTGGCTGCCCTACAACGTGGTGTTGTCCCCTACTCTCCCATCCCCACTCTTCCAGAATATGGCCCCTTCTGCTTCTGCACCTCCCTCCCCTGTGGCCCTGCGAGGGGGTCTGTAGGTTGTTTTCATGGTGTAACATGACTTGGTGGGGAAAAGTCAGGGACAAATCACAGGCAGGTAAACACGTTCCCAGAGGCTCATGGAATTATCTCCGCCATTTTGCTGGTTTGTGGTTCCCGATTCCCTTTCTGAGGGATTCGGTTTCCTGCTGCTCTTTCCTATTCCCGGACACAGGGCTCCGCAAACCTCCCGTCCCTGTCCTCAGCGACTTCTTCCCCCTGAATTCCCCTGCTGCCTGCAGATCCAAGAAGGCTCCTCCAGAGATGTCTTCGCCATCCAACGCGGAGCCCGAGGCACAGGTGACACGCTCAAGCTTTGTGTGAGGCGCAGTCCCAGGGCAGCGAGAGCGAGGGGAAAGGGGAGTGCCACAGACAGGGCAGAACACAAAGGCAAGGGGATGCATTGCTGAGGCCACAGCGTCACAAGAGGACACCTGCTTGCTCGGTGTAAGACATCAGCTCAGAACAATCTACCCTGGGGAAGAAGGGACAGCTCCTTCTCATCTCCCGTCTCTCGTTGGCCAAAGTTGGCTCCGGAAGGGTGAACCCCTCTGCGCATCTTCTGGATGTGGGGCGCAGACCCCGGCTGATGGCTCACAGCACAGTGCTCCACCTGAGCCTGGACGTGGCAGGGAGCCGGAGCCTGGGTCTGCTCTGGCGGGACGGGGGTGCCGGAGCTGCTTCCGTGCCCCTGCCGAGGGTGCGATGGAGCCTGTGCGGGACCCCAGACCTCGCTGCAGGAGAGCTGGCACAGACGAGAGGTTACGGGGACAGCGGCTGGCACTCTCCTCTGAGTAGACGGCCAGGTCGTCTTCGGGGGAGGCGGGTCGGTAGTGGCGATGTGGGTTGTGGGGGTCTGTCCTCTCTCTGGTGACTCAGAGACTTCCGTGAACTTCGTCTTGTGCCGTCACCATCTCAACCTGTGGCTTCCAAGGTCACTGCAATAGTGGAAATGAGGAAGGAACGAAGCTCCGGGGCTTTTTACCTCCTCCATAAGGGGACACACTCGCTTCCGCCCATCTTCCATCCACCGGAAGGAGACACACTCGCTTCCGCCCATCATCCGTGTGAGGGGCTCAAAGGCCCCAGGCTGACTTCAGCTGGAGTGAGAAATGTAGAGCAGCACCTGCAGGGGTCTTGTGATCTCCGCCTGGCTCTCTGCACCCCCACCTCCTCCCGCTTCCCTCTCTGCATCCTGTACGGGAGGAGTTTACACAGGTGGGCAGTGTTTTTTCACATCTGTTGGGATCCCCGGCGGCACCCCCTTTGGAACCAGCCCTGGATCAGGCTTCCTGCAGCAGCCCCTGGTCAAGGACAGCCCAGCGTGGGCACTGATTCGACCCCCTGTGTGATTGGATACCTTTAGTGGGGGACTTGGCTGGACGGCCCCCCCCCCCCCCCCAGTGTGGGCAAAATTTTCGTAAGTTGACTTTCTGCTTTTGCAAGAGTCAGGGTGGTGTGACGGCTTCCGTCTGGCTCTGGCTCCCTCCCCACTTCCCTTCCTAGGTGTCTCCTCCAACAAATCTCATGCACATCTAATAGCACCTGTTCCTCAGGGAACCCAGACTAACACATACATCATGATGACGCTATAGATAATTTCCAGCCCTGCTTTAAATAGTGCACTGTATTTTTTTTTCTATAAGTAAATATCGTTTCCTGTATTTTATTTGTTTACTTTTCTAGGGATCTTTTGCTTATTTATTTTTTTTTTTTCAAATCACAGATGCACTCAATCCATTTTATTTTCCTGAAGAGGCCTCTCCAGGAGCGCTCTGATCCCTCCTGCAGCCTGGAGTAGGGGTGGAGGTGGGGTGATGGGTGTCCCCTGGGCCTGGATGCCACCTAGAAGCTAACTTTTTTTTTTTTAGTTTTTTTAGAAGCTAACTTTTTTTTTTTTTTTTGATTTTTTTTTTCCAACTTTTTATTTATTTATTTATTTTTGGGACAGAGAGAGACAGAGCATGAACGGGGGAGGGGCAGAGAGAGAGGGAGA